TTAAACGCTACAATTGTGGAGATGGTAAGTGAATTTTTGCTGCGAATTGAATTGCATTCAGTTTTTTTTTTGTTTGCTATAAATCTCGTGATTTTTTCTCGACTTATTTGCATCGAATTTACAGTTGATATGTGAAAAACACCGAAAGCCATTGATGTAATGTACTTGTTTCGTGCTATATCAGGGTGCTTGTTTCGAATCAATCTGCGTTGTTATTGTGTAATAAACACACTTGATCACATGCATGATAACAATTCAAAAAAATAGACACACACTTTCCGTTTTATTAATCGCTTCGTTCATGTTTTCAAGGGATTACGTCCAAATGAATTGATATTCCAATGAATTTACTATAGAAGAACAATATAATCCTATTCAAATGCATGAAAATCTAATGAATTGATCATATGAGATCAATATAAGGCATTCCTTTTATCGGTGCTATCCGCAACATGTTAGCATGTGGGCATAGTGGAGGAATTTACTTCTTGTTGACATCAATATATTCGTGGTAAGATGTATAATCATGATGTTTTTTAATTGATAAAAACAGCGAACAGCAAATTATTCGATGAGTCAGGTTTAGTTCAGGTTTAGATTCAGATTTAGGGCTGAGCCAGGATTCGAATGTGGTTTAGAGTTGGGTTGCAACGGCTAGGTGAAAACAGTGCGATAAAAAAGCAAGAAACATCTGGGCATTTTCAACGTAGAGCGCCTTTTGCTCAGTACGTTTGCTCTTTTGTTGATGAAATAGTAGCCTGCCAAACAAAAAGGGCACAAACAGTGTACGCATAGAAACTTGTTATTACATCCATAAGATAGTGAAAAAATGCGATGAGAGCATAAATAAAGAATGAGAAATAATTTCAATCTAAGCGAAATGAATCAGAAAACGTTCGAACACACTCGAAAGAATGAGAGGAACGGAATTGGATTTAGAAATGTTGAAATTTTGACTGATAAAAAGCAATTATAATTACGATATGGCTTTCGTCAATAATATCATGGTTATTCTTGTATCAGTCACTGTTACTGAAAGCTATGTGATTGAGAGATTTGCGGTCAACCCGATGAACTTATGTAAATGTTGCAGGTATTTTTGTGCAGTTCATGATGGGTGTCGCAATAATCTTCGTTGGTTTCATCGTTTTGGCCTGGAATCATTTTCCACAGTTTTATCCACTTCCAATGCTTGGCGGATTATTCTGGGGAGTGGGTGGGTTCGTTCATATTTCTTGGCTTTGATCATCCGAATTTCAACATATCGTTCGATCTTCTCTTTGCGCTGGCGAGCAGTATGTAATTGTTATAGTATATCCCCTGGTAGAAGATTATATCTTAAACAGGAGAGAATATGATATGACTTGCCTACTTGAAGCGTTATTGTGTTGGATGCTTCCATCAGCATCTCAAAAATGAATAGCTTGACAGTCATTCCAATACAGCATAGATTGGATGCGGATGAAGATAAAATGGATGCTTTCGGTATTTCAGCGAACAGCACAGCCATAATGTTAACTGAGGTGCTGGGTCTAGCTCTTGCGCTGCTAATCTGGAACACCGTATCCTGTATCATGGGATGGGCCACATCCCGATTCGGTCTTTTCGGTACACTTCCAGAACCACCAAAGAGTGACCTCCTCAATTATCTCGGACTTGTTCTATTGGTCATCGGGTCAGTCTATGTGATTGTTTCCGTCTCTTTACGTTATTCTTTACGATAAAATAGCTTTAAGTTTTCAAAAAAAAAAAAACATTTATCTGCCCTAAACCAACTAAGCCAACTCGAATTGATCGAAATCCCACAACAACGTTTCTCTCGTCAATTAATTCACGACGACAATTCCTATTCGCGAATTGTCCAGTTTATCGGAAGACAACTCCTTGAATGCCACATTGGAGTTCAGAAATGCCATTGATTAACCGGTAGCTGAAGAAGCACTTGGTTGCATTAATCAAAAAAAAGCCTAGATGAATGAAGCCATTTGTTGAGGAATAAAATTTATTGGAAATTTGGCTTTGCTTACTTTCTGCAGTACAGAATGAAGAAGTGACTAAGACTATGTTGCAGTGGTGTTATGTTTCTCTTCGTTCATAAGCAGCCAGGTAGGCCGAAAGCAAAAATGTCAATGGATATTTTCGTAAGTATCATTTTGCACTCTTGAAATAATGATATCAATCCAGCCAACCTATCAGATTCTAATGTTCAAATCTGCAATAAACTTAGACTGCTTCTACTTTGAAGACTCAAAGAAAAGAACAAGCGTGTTTAATAATTCGGAATTCACTGTTGAATTTGCCAGCGTGACAAAACGTCGTTCACCTCAAGCCACTAGGCGTAGGTCACCGTTTCATGTTTAGAGCAGTCATAAATTCAATTCAACATGACGATGGTAACTAACGTTGTAATGTCGATAATCACATAAGAAGATTAGATTATTTTTGATGTTTGATATTTCTCAATGGAACAAATCATAAAGATACCGTTCGTTTCTCTCACACATCGATAAGTAGTTTATTCGAACGGATGGAAAGCTTTTCCGAATGAAACCAATGAATGGAAAAAGATTGCAGACAACAAGTATTCAAGTGAACGATGATAATAAGTCGAACACGAATAGCGCAACTCCAAAAATTTTAATTCAGCGAATTCATGCACTGATTGTTGGGCATCAACGAATAATGTTAGTTGCTTGATGTGATTGTCTGATCGAATCCGAGCATTGATAATCGACTGAGGAACAATATGAGAACAAGAAAATGCTTGGACGGGAAATCCTTTTACCTTTAAGAGTGAGAGATATTGTGCAAGATGTTCTCAATAATATTAGCTTCACCTCTTAAAATATTAGCTTAACACAATCATCGGATTTATCTTCATAATCACTGCTAATCGAATTCAATAATCATGTAATTTTTGGAGACGAGAACGTGAGTTCAATGAAATTTCACACGTTTAAATCATTTTCCAGTGCTCTGTTGTTTTGTGTCATTGATGGTTTGCTATACGGCAGTAGAACAACACCAGTTATTTACATGCAGGTTGGTGAATTTCAGCCAACATGATTTATCTCTTCAGAAGGATATCTCTGACCACATTCCTTGCTATGTTAGAACTTTGATGTATGTTGCTGATACTTTCCCTGGCACATCTTCTATGTTTATCGGTTCTGTAGTCGTTAGACTATTATGTGGCAAGCAACTCCAGCATCAATTATATGAATGCAAGAGCAACGTTGAGTGAGCAATATGTCAAATCTAATTACGGTAATACTCGTTGCGATTTCAAATTGAAAGATGTAAGTGAGCAATTCTTCCCAACATACTGAATGATAGCGATTTCGTGTAGAAGTGCCA